TCCAAACCCTATTAAAGGGTGGGAGGCCGGATGTATGCAGTCCGTCTGATATTTCAGTTTTGACAGACATTTGCTGCTGATGAGATCTGAAGAGCTCCCAGTATCTATGAGGACTCGACCAACTCTCTGGTTGGCCACTTTACACTCAATAACGAGAGGGTCGTCATGCGGCCCCCTTATTCCTCCTAGATCCTCTTCAGTGATGACAATCTCAGGAAATGTATATTTGGACGGTCGTTCTTGGTGAACGGAATTTACATCTAACCGCCTTATATTATCTTTGTTGCCCCTAATAGTGGGGCCGCCTCCTGAGAAGCCGCCTGCAATGGTGTAGACGACTGCATCATCTGTATCGGAACTGTCGGCCTGTTGATTCTTTTTGGCCGACTGCTTTTTTGAGGAAGTATTCCCCGTAGATTTCTTGACATAAGTGTCAAGATCACCTTGATCAGCCAAGCGGTCTAGGTACCGCATGAGACTAATGCAGTCGTTGGTGTGATGACCAATGTCATCATGATAAGCACAGATTTTGTCTTGGTTCCGGTTGCTCGCAGAACCCTTCATGGGGAGCGGTTTCTCAATTGAGAGCCGTCCCTTTATTTCTTTTAGGATAAACTGGTTATCCTTGTTAAACACATACTTTGGGGAGTATGGTTTGAATTCCTTTTTCTTCTTGGCCGGCTGTTTAGAGGAATCAGCCGCCCAGACCCCTTTTCTTTTTTCATCTTTGTTGGACGACTGTTTCTGTCGTCCTTCTCTATTGTCGAACCTCTTCCCGTCCGACTGTTTCATTGTACACAGATCAGTCGCCTGTATATAGGCTTCTGCTTCAATCAAGGCCTCTTGAAGAGTCGCCACCCTTTTTCGAACTAAATCAAATTTGAAGGTAGACCCGTCTTTGAGACCTCTAAAAAAGTCAGTATAAGCTACCTCATCCGGTAACCCTTGAATCTGTATTCTCATCAGGTTGAACCGCCTGATGTAGGAACGAAGCCCCTCCTTTTCACCCTGCTGAATTGTTCCCAAATCAAGGGTCGTTTTCTTCGCAGGGATGTTCATTGCAAAGTTGGAGGCAAATAAGTAAGAAAGCGTCCTGAAACTGTTTACACAACCAGTCGGCAGGTTGCCGAACCATTGCTGTGCAATTCCCTTGAGAGTTGCTGGGAAACACTTGCACCAAGTGGGATCATCCAACCCTTGAAGGTACATCAGGTTGGTGAATGCCATCAGATGGTCTTCCGGGTTAGTAGTGCCATCATAGGCGCCTACTAAAACATTTTTTACTTTGGCCGGCTGAGCGGCTTCAGTAATTTCCTTGGAGAAGGCCGACGGCTGTTCACCAAGTCTAAGCAGCCGTAGCTGCCAGTCCATAGGTTGGACGTTTTTTGCTGCAGGTCCACCAAATGGAGGTGGCTGCATAAAATATTGTTGTTGCGGCACAAATGGCAAATTTGGTACCGCCTGCGCACTATGAAAGCCAGACTGTCGGGAGGTGCCGCCTGACTGACTCTCATGGTACGACTGAGTTGGCCTCATCGAGGCATTTCGCAAACTGTCCTGAAAATTTGAAGTAGAAGCCGACTCTGATAATCGGTCACTCCTCTTCTGCTCTAGCAGGTGCCGAGCATCTGTGAACGTTTGCTTTGACCCGTCCGCCTGAATATGACGAACCGGTTTCCTATTTCCCGTAGGATAACAGAGTTTTGTGAAATCAAGAGCAGACGGCTCCCGCTTCTTAGATTTAGGATGGGGAGTCGCCTCTCGCCCTTGAACTGGCTTCCTCTTCAGTGAAGTGGAAGGTTTTTTGGCCGCCTGCTCTTTGACTGAAGCAGGCGGTTTTTTGTTGATCAACTCTTGGATCTCTCCCTTGAATCCCCTCATGAAGGTCATGAGTTCGTTCCTTGTGATGGGAGCAGACCCATCAGTCGGCTGTTGCCGAGCAAGCGGTGCGCCTGCTGGCTCGCTTCCTGTTTGAAGATACTCCCGTTCCCTTATTTCAGTATGACGGGTACGGCGGGCCCTTAGGGTCCCGTCTGGAGCTGTATGAGTTTCAACTTCAAATTCACTTTCGGTATCATGGTCCGACTGAACTAGAGGGTCGTCTAGGGGACGCCTCTCTTCTGGGGTCGGTACAGACTTGGATGCCATCTCTGAAGTACTCTCCCCACAGACGGCGCCAAATGTTTCGGGGTTTTCTGATGTCCTGCGGGAGAGTTACAATTCCGAGACTGGAACCGGACGCCTGTACCTGCAAAATAACGGAGACTCCTGAGAGCTCCGCCTCCAACGGTCAAGTTAGTACCTGATTAAGGAGTAATTAATACAGAAATTAAAGTAATAAGGTCTCTCTAGGTGAGAGTATTTAATGTAGGTAATCTGCTTTGCTAGCGAGATCAGCCGGTTATTAGTGTGTTCCGTAATGTATTCGGTCCCTCGATTAATGAGGATTAATCGAGTATTTATAGCCTTGGGAAGCGTGCAACTCTCTAGGTTTAAGGTAAACCTAGGGCCGATCGGGCTTCTAGACTGAAATGGGCCTTGATGGCCGGTTGTCCCATTTGGCATGGGTGGACACGTGGCGTGTCTTAAGTGGTCCATGGAGGACGCGTGGCGGAACCTGGTTGGTCCACTTGTCAAACGGTGCTTGGTGGATAAAAATCCCCTAATCAGGTAGTATATTCTAGGGGTGAGCAAAGATCCAGGGTACCCGGTATTGGACCCGGAACCGGTTAGGACCCGCCGGGCCCAGACCCAGAACTGGTCTCACCGGTTCCAGGACCGGGTCTAAAATTTCGGATCCAGTCATAACCGGTTCTGGTTCCAAATCCTAAAATTTTGGACCCGGTACCCACTGGGTACCCGGTTGTATATGATATAGTATGTGGATTGTTTGTATTTTTAAGAAACTAAAGAGTTATGTACAACCCATTTTAATTTCTAAGCCCAATTGCTTATAAAACTCTGAACCCACTATCAAACAAAACCCTAAAACTTCTAGATTTTTCTCTCCGCTCTACTATACCGGTTACCCAACATATATTGTACAAAATATATTTAAAAAAAATATGTTGAACGTAACTAATTAGTAAAATAAAAAAATTAATATTTAATATAATTAAAATAGCTTAATGTATATAAAAATATAAGTATTAAATACTAAAAGTAAAAATACACCAAAAAAAATATTATGATTTGTATTATATTTCAACACTTATATGTATAAGTGGGTACCCGGAATCGAAACCGTTACCCGGTGGAACCAATTCCAATTCCTAAATTTTAGGACTCGGTTGTACCGGTTCCAATTCCGGTTCCAAATATTAGGACCCGGTCCCAACCAATTTCAGGTCCGGATTCTAAACTTTTGACCGGGTACCTGCTTTGCTCACCCCTAGTATATTCTCTTCTCTTATATAATCACACCACATTGAAAATTCTTAACTCTCATGTCACGAATTCCTTAGAAGCGTAATATTTTTTTTAATAAGATAATGAATGTGGGTATGAGTGGGGCGGGTAGGGTACGGGAGAGTACAACCTAAAATACACTCCCACCCATCACTTATGACAAGTATAATTTTATCCCCATCTCTGTCCTATCACCTGTCTAACTTGATTTTCATGTACAGGGATGAATCGGGTCTCCTACTTAAGCTAATGTGTCTTTTAAAAATAGAAATAACAATGAAAGGTGTCGTAGAAAAATAAAAACTTGTTGAGTCAGCTAGACTCATTTTAACATTGACTGCTATATACTACACGTCTACACCCGTTATACATATCATCCCAGTTTGCCCACGGCTCAACCACTTATCTTTCCCTAAACAACAATTTCAAATAAAACGACAATTACGAAAGAAGCGGCGCCGTTGGTAAAACAAAAAAAAATCAGGTTTAGGCATTTTTAGCAGCGCTTAACACGTTCCTTGTTTTTGTTCCTTTCTTCTTCTCCGTCTATATACGATAATCCACCATTAAAACTCTGCAATTAAAATGGCGAATTCTCACATAAACCCTAACTTTATATTCCTCCCTAAAATCAATCCTAAATTAATTCCACCAAACTACCACCACCCTAACTAAGAAGAGACGTTTGACCTTCAACTCCGACAATGGTTCCGTATTCGACACGATTAAGCCTCTTTCCACAGCATCTATCAATGGCGGCGAGAAAGTAGTGAAGTGCAAAGTGTCCAATGACACAGAGTGGGGAGAAGAAGAGGAGGAGAGAGAAAGAGATGGGTTTTTGTCGTTGTCGGCGTCAATGATGAAGGAAGTACAATTTGTACGGTGGTTTCGAGAAGCTTGGCCGTATTTTAGGGCTCATAGAGATGGTACTTTTGTCATTATCATCTCCGGTGAGATTGTTGCTAGTCATTTCTTAGACCCCCTCTTAAAGGCATGTCTTATATATTTCCTTATTTCATTATATACTCATTTTGCTGTTACTAATTTTTTCTACATTTGATTTTGTTGTTGTTTTGCTTATTTCAATTTTATTACTACTATTTTAGGAAATTGTTGCTGAGTTTAATAATTTCTGTATCTATATGGTCCCTTTAAAATGCTTCCTAACATGGTATTAATTTGGGAATGAATGTCAAAATTACGCGCTGTTTGGTGTAAATAATGTTTATTTCGAGTTAATATTTCTATTTTAGTTTTTTTGTCTAACGTCCCGAGCCGTTTGTTAGCTTTTGCCTTTAAATTTAAGAGCGAAACATTCATTTTTACCTAAGTTATATTTTAATGTTTCATACTGATTAATTAATCAACGTTTCATACTAATTAGTTGGAAATACTCCTGAATTGCTTCTTTTATTATAGATTTTGGGCTAAAATTTCCATTTCTATGTGTGTCATATGCGTATGTGTATGTGTATGTGTATGTGTATGTGCATGTGCTAAGAGAGATTTGTATGTGCATGTGCTAAGAGAGATTTGCCTTATTCACTTGATTAGTTCATTTGGTGCTAATAAAACTTGTACTTTTGTTGCAGGACATTTCGTTACTCCATGGATTAGGGATCAAATTTGTGATTGTTCCTGGTACCCATGTGCACATTGATAAGCTTTTAGCAGAGAGAGGTTAGTGAAAATTAATGAGTTTCTCATGTGTATACTCAGAAGTAGCATTTCATACATTTGCTTCATATTTATGGGAGGAAAAACATATGATTGAAATTTCTTTTATCAAGGTATTATTGAGTTTTTATTTCCATTGTGTTAAAATATTATGTACTTCATTGCAAAATACATGTGCTACACTACCTTTGCATAATCCAAAAGATGTACCTCTCAATTATCACAAATTGTGTGAAAAAAGCTATTGATATTACCCTTTATTTTTGCTTGTTGTGCACTAATTATATGTGTTGATTTTGAGAATATACTGTTAGTTTAGGTTAATAATATACTAATTTATTGCCAACAATTGTTTTTATGAGGAGGGTAGAAGTGTAGAACGACTTATGTTCAGCTGTAGTTATTTACCTACTGTCTATCAAGGCTTGAAACAAAATGTCATTGTAGTACTTTAAAACCTCAGATAACTTCTCCGGATTCTTTGCCTTTCACTAGAAAGCAAATAGTGATCTCACCAGTCCTGTGGTGAATATTAATCTGGATTGAAAGTTAGATGACTGTGGACCAATATTCACTGCATGCATCAAGCATGATTTTGAAGCTGTTGTCATGATTGCTGATCTGTTATTTATGGGATGTTTTGAATGTGTTATCTGTGTCTTATCATTTTCTCAGATATTATATTGTGTCAGGTTGTAAGGTATCCTTATAATGTATTTTTGTAGGAAGCAAGGCTCGGTATGTTGGGCCATATAGAATCACAGATTCTGATTCCCTTGAAGCAGCTATGGAAGCAGCTGGAAGAATACGTATAATGATAGAAGCAAAACTTGCTGCTGGACCATCTTTATGTAATATACGCAGACATGGGGAAAATAGCCGATGGCATGATGTTGGTGTAAGTGTTGCAAGTGGAAACTTTTTGGCAGCTAAGGTAAGATATTGACTTATACATGCAATGCACAATTTTATAAAACGTTGTTGAATTATTTACAGATTGCCACTAGATAAACGTTTATTTGTTTATTATGAAGATAAATTTGTATTTTCTCATTTTAGAATGACATGACATGCTTAAGTTTGTATCATATTGAAAGGAAGGTTCCTTGACAGTGTCTATGGTAATGCTACTCCACCCCTTAGAGTTGGTAATCTGGTATTGAATGGTAACATTGGCTGTGGGACTTTCTTTGTAATGTTATATGAAACTTATAACCATCTCCATCATATATTACTACTTATCGAACGTGCCTTAAAATTATTACATTTTAAGTTGTGGTTGCATATTGTAATACTGAAGTTTTAGTAGTTTCACAATTATTTTATTTTAATTTGTTAACTTATTGCAGAGAAGAGGAGTTGTGAAGGGTATTGATTATGAGGCAACTGGAGAAGTCAAGAAAGTAGATGTTGCTCGTATTCGTGAGAGGCTTGATGCAGGGTGCATAGTGCAACTGAGTAATTTGGGTTATTCCAGCTCTGGAGAAGTACTAAATTGCAAGTATGTTGATGAACTTTGGTTTCTGTGTATTTTTGGGTTGTAACCAAGTAATTGATCATTGATGTTTAATTTTCCTTTCCTTTTCTTACAGTACATATGAGGTCGCAACTGCTTGTGCCCTGGCTCTCAATGCCGAGAAACTTATTTGTGTGATTGATGGGCCTATTTTGGATGACTTTGGACATCTTATCCGCTACCTCAGCCTTCATGATGCAGACAAGCTTATTCGTCAACGAGCTAAACAAAGTGAGGTTGCTGCTAATTATGTGGAAGCTGTTAGTCAGGAAGATCTCAAAACTCAGGAGCAGTATCAGCTCACTGATACCATCCCATCTCTGTTGAATGTAAATGGAAATGCAACATTTCAAAATGGTCTTGGTTTTGACAATGGAAATGGGTTATGGTTTGGCGAGCAGGGTTTTGCTATTGGTGGTCAAGAGAGGCTAAGTAGGCTTAATGGTTACCTTTCAGAATTGGCTGCTGCAGCTTTTGTATGCAAAGTAAGTTCTGTTAATATTGGGCAAATTTCTTCTGGTTCCATTAACTTTTTTTAATTTTTAAGCGAGGCTAACCCACGCCACAGCGCCACTTCTAATCCTTTTTTTTTTCTCCTTTTGTTAATTTTTTTGTATGTTGATGTTTTGGTTCTGGAAAGAATTTTTCTGGTGGTTACTTGTTAGGTCTGGTTGATTCATTATTATTCTCATGTCAAGCTTAGGTATATTGTATAACGAATTCCAGAAAGAATAGTGGACTGTCATTAGTGCATCCTCCATATTGACAAGTTGAAGACTAGTTGGAGAGTCAATACTCAATTTACTCTTAACAACTAATCAAATATTATAAGTAGGATGAACTTTGTTATTGGCGTATCCTCAATATCGAAAGAGCTGAAGACTAGCCGAAGAGACACTATCTAAATATCTAGAGAAATAGGCTCTTATTAATCAACTTCGTGGCATTTGTTGTTACTTGTTAGTTTTATAATATTGAACACAATTAATATGTGGTTGACTTTTGCATACTATAGGGCAATATAGTATGAGAGGTACAGTTTAATGGTTTCAGAAATTTATTAGGAGTATGGTTTCATTGATACACTACACAGACATGGTTTTGCATTAAATAATATACCCCATCCATCCACTTAGATTGCCCCATCTCTCTTTCTCTCTCTCTCTCTCAAACACACACACACACATAAGAGTTGGTTCAATTGGGTTGCATGCAGGTTCTTTTTTCTTTTTTGCCCTTTTGTGGTTTCACATTGCAATAGTAGGGAAAACATTCCATAAATGGTATGGAGCAAACTTAATGGGACATCCATTTAGGCATTTACAGAAAGTGTGGCAAACTCAATGGCACATCCATTTATGAAAATGGGAGCAATCTCAGTGGGATGGAGATGGAGTAGTATGTAACTTCGAGATGCCGATTCCCCTGCCCCCAACCACCTGACTAGAAAAAAGTGGTGGAGTATTGTTTAAAGTTTGGTGCATACATTAATTCGCTGTTTAATATGAGTTCATGTGTTTCTCTTGTATGCTGAGGTTTCTGTGATAGACTGACAGCACATGATGCCTGTTCTAATTTTTGTTTTTGGCTTTGGTTGACTTTCTAACATATCCAATGAAAGTGGTAATTGTCTTAGTTATGAAGCTTTCAATTGATTTCTTTATTTGTGTATGTTCTGTGCATCACATGGCAATCATAATATGTATTTTTCTTGCCCTTCCTCATTTTCCTTACAGGGTGGTGTCCAAAGAGTTCATCTATTGGATGGGACGATTGGTGGAGTCCTTTTGTTAGAATTGTTTCAGAGAGATGGTGTGGGGACAATGGTAGCAAGGTATATGCTGTCTTTTTGTTAGGTGCATATATGAGAAGTGTGAGTGTGTTTTTTTTTTTGCTTTGTTAGGGAATAGGGATCTTTCTTTTTCTAATTTTGGGGGTGGGGAGGGGGAGTTTGATAAACGTCATTGAATGCTGTACTAGTTGTCAATTAAATTATTCTGGGGCTGCATTCTTTTTGTTGAGAAAGGCTTTTTCCTATATCGTCCTTTGTTTGTTGAAAATAGTTGTTTGCCTGTTCAGGTTAGCATACCTAAAGAACTATGTCAGGTGTCTGCTGTGACATTTTTTCTTAAGATCATGATAAGATGTATTTTTGGGATCAAAGGACAACATCTATCTTTTTGGTTTTGATATCTGAATAATTTTTGATTTTTTTTTTAAAAATTATTATTGTATTTAAGTATGTGATGAAAAATATATAGAAGCAATGCAAGCATAATTAAAAGTGTAGACGTGTAGTAGTAGTATGATTGAGGATCACAAAAGGCAATCGACTCGCATTTCTATTATACATGGAGAATACACAGTTGCTCATGGTTTTGATGCTTTTTGGGAAAAGCTTTGCATACTAATTTGTAACAGGAGATATGTAGTAGAGCTTCTCTTGGTTATTAACATTCAGATTCTTGAATTAAAATACCTTTTTGTTTTGTTCGTTTTATTTAGTCATTGGCTATTTTCCGAAGAAATTGAGCCTATTGAGTTGTTCCCCAAAATCCTAAGGGCCTGAAACCTAACTGTGATGGTGGAAAGAACTCTAGGCCTCATTTATTTAGGTCACTGTGAGTGCCAGGTATTTTGACACTTCAAGTTTGGACATTATCTGTAGGTCATCCAAACCTCTTTGACCCCTCTCCTTTCATTTTTTTTTTTTTTTTTTTTTTTTTTTTTGCTGAAACTTAAGATGAACAAGTGTGAAATGTAGTCATGGACATCTTTTTCAATATGATCAAATCTTCTCTTTGCAGTGACGTGTATGAGGGAACCCGAATGGCTAGGGAGGCCGACCTTGCTGGAATAAGACAGATACTCCGACCTTTAGAGGAGTCTGGCACTTTAATCCGACGGACTGATGAAGAGGTCTGTTATCTGCATTAATTTTGATTGCTCTAGCTCTTTCTTTTCTCAGGCATTCTCACTACAGATTTACATGTAGCTCCTTTGGCCTCCTACCCTTTGATCTGTGATTAATGTGCACATCTTTGCTTGTTTTATGGATATAGTTACTTGCAGCAATTGAGTCTTTCATTGTTGTGGAAAGAGAAGGTCAGATTATTGCTTGTTCTGCTTTATATCCATTCGTTGAAGATAAATGTGGGGAAGTTGCTGCCATCGCTGTATCTCCAGAATGCCGAGTACAAGGGCAGGGTGATAAGTTACTAGGTATGTCATGTTTATAAGTCATTCATGCGTTTGTAGCAATAATGTTGTCAAACTGCCCATGCACCCTGACTTGTGATAATCTTGGAAGAAAAGTATACTCTTATAAACTTATCCTGGTACAGTAGTACTGCAAATCAAGGTCTGATTTAATGTAAAAGAAGTTGTGTGAGAAAATGAAGATTTTTAATGAAAAGAAAGTGGACGTATTAGTTTTTCCTTAACTGTTTCCTCCCAAAAGTGTATGCTTGTGGATACTTCAGATTAGTCTACTTACTAGTGTAGACTAATTAGCAGTAAATCTACATACATTACACTTGAATATCCTAAACCTTGTCAGCAGAGAGATAGATGGGTGGTGGAAGTGATGATGGCTGGGATGTATGATTAAATAATTTATCCTCTAAATTGATCACATTATTTACTGTTTTTTTTTACCTAGATAATCACTTTTGTTGGTAAACTGCAGATTATATTGAGAAAAAAGCATCGTCCCTTGGATTAGAAATGCTTTTTCTACTAACCACTCGCACTGCAGATTGGTAAGTTCGCCATTATTATTGCCAGGTTCACAATCTATATACATGTTCGTTTGTGTTTGAGGCATGAATACAAAAGGCTAGATTTTGCCATTTTATGAAAAACATTATTTTTTAGGTAGTTGAAAGAAAACTTGGAAACTTCTGTTAATTAATTGGACTAATAGCATTTTATAATTATATTTACTGCAATTTATAGATTCAGAGGAATATTATATGTCCACTACACTAACAATTTGATAATTCCTAACAAGCGTAGATATCTAAAATGTCTACAGAAGGAACTGTTATGCCTCTTTGCTCTGTGGAAAGAATTTTCCATTTTGATGCCAATTTTTCAATCTTTAATCGGTTTCTAATTGAGTAATTGGTTTCCACCTGGAAATTTTTTGAATTTTTGTGTTATCCAATTAGAGATAGCTCAGACTGGCATTTACGTGATTCATATAATATGTTTACCCATTTATCTGTGCGGTAACAATGCTCATGTAAGATCATCACAGGTTTGTAAGACGTGGATTTTCAGAGTGCACCATTGATTTCTTACCGGAAGAAAGAAGGAAAAGGATCAATTTATCCCGCAACTCCAAGTATTACATGAAAAGGCTGGTTCCAGACAAGAGTGGGATAGCTGTTATGTGACCTTAGTAGTTATCTCTAAGTAGTTTAGTTAGTTACACAAGTAGGGCTTGCACTTTCATAGTTAGTGATGCTTTTAAAAATGCAAGTTAGGACTAGCTTCCCGAGAGATAGTACAGGTGCAATTTTGTAGAAGAGGTCAGGTTAATGTAGTCTATCCTGCAGAGTGCAGTTTTTTTTTTTTCTTTGCTGATAATGATAGTATAGGTGCTGCTGCTGATAATGATGATAGTGTGAATAAGTTTATATGTATATGTGAAGATGCTATGTGGTTATACTTGTGCATACAAGGTTTATTATCTCTGTTGAATCGAATAAATCTCAGCTATTGTTTTCAGTTAATAATGCAAATGGTTATCGTGAAAGAATTTTGGTGCAGTAAGTGGTGTACTGTTGTGGTGGTTGTGAAAACGATTTAACAAAACACATAAACTACCTGTTGTTAATTGTTTCATATTACTTCACCATTATTCAAGACTTACATTGACCATTATTTATTTTTACTACTTTCTCTGATTTTGTTGGGGTGCTTAGTGCTTACCAATTTATCATGCACCTTACAATATCTTGAGAGACTATTTGGAGGGTTGGAATCGTCTACTTTGTATTTTAGCTGTCAATAATACAACATTATATGTGGGTTGCAACTCTTACCCTGTCAAAAAAATTTGATATTGAATCTTGAAATCTCTAAAGTTTGTTCAAAAAGCCTTTGTTTTTGGGGGACATATTGGAACCCAACAAGATTATACATTGAAGTGTTACTCCTATTTGGTGACCAAAACTTTCTCATTCATGCCTTGTACCTCCTTTTGTTATCACGCCTTAAGATGTCTTGTGAGTTGTGACGCTTTGGCCAGGCTTAGTAGTGTGATGCTTTGACTTGTGTTGCCTTGCCATCCTAGGCCTTGCAAAGACACTATTTATTTGGTGCATACGCCAAAATTAATTACCTTTATCCCCTTTCCATTAATTTTTTTGAACATTTTTTAAACTAACTAAATTTTCCCATTTATTTTACCAAATTTAAGTCATAATTTTCTCATTTCAATCACCACACCATTGTCCCTCTCTAGAGCTGTCCATTCGGGTAAACGAATTGGGTTTTGGTCAGGTAAGAGTGGGTTGGGTCAACTCGGTCGGGTCAAATTTTCACGCTTTTTGAGAAATTTTGGAGTTGACCCGACCCACTCTTACCGACCCAAACATGACCCGTTTACGCGAATTAACTTTACCCAAAAATTCCAAAATTGAAGTCTAATACTCACGTTTTTTGAGAAATTTTAGATGTTTCGGAATTTGTTGTTGAAAAGTCTTTAAATTTTAAGAAATGCATCTCGGGGTCATATAATGTTATTTGGAACCATATATGATCATTATTTGTTGTTATAAGTGTTCGTGGTAGACTTGAGTTGATGAAATTTGTGCAAGTTGTAAACCGGTAAATTGTTCGTTTAAAGGCAAATTGGATGGTTCCAACCAGCCAATTGGACTCCCGTAGGCCGGAGGGTATTAGGGACCATGGTAAACATTTCGGCAATTTTTATTTCAGATTGAAAAAAAGTCAAAAAAAATTCAAAAATTGAAGGTTAATAATATACACGCTTTTTGAGAAATTTTGATGGTTTCAAAGCCCGATGTCGAAAAGAAATAAGATTTTAGGGGACACTTCTCAGGGTCATATAATGTCGTTTGAAACCATAAATGATCATTATATGTTGTCGTAAATGTTTGTTGTAGGCTTGAGTTAATGAAATCAGTGCAATTTGTAAACCGGTAAATTCGTCATTTAAATGCAAATTGGATGGTTCCACCCACCTAATTGGATTCCCGGAGGGTATTAAGGATCATGGTAATCATTTCGTAAAATTTTATTAACAAGCGAATAAAAGTCAAAAAAATCCAAAATTAAAGGCTATCCACACTTTTTGAAAGATTTTGGAGGTTGCGAGGCCCGGTGTCGAAAATCCTTGAGATTTTAGGGAATACATCTCAGTGTCATATAATGTCGTTTGGAACCATATATGATCACTATATGTTGCCATAAATGTTTGTGGTGGGCTTGAGTTAATGAAATCGTTGCAAGTTTTAAACCGGTAAATTGGCCGTTTATTGGTAAATTGAATGGTTCCACCCAACCTATTCAACTCCAGGAACGTATTAGGGACCATGTTAAATATTTCAGCAATTTTTATTTACGAGCAAAAAGAAGTTAAAAAATTCCAAAATTGAAGGCTAATATCCACGCTTTTTGAGAAATTTTAGAGGTTTCGGGGCCCGGTGTCGAAAAGCCTTAAAATTTTAGAATATAAATCTTGTGGCCATTTAATGTCGTTTGGAACCATATATGATCATTATATGTAGTCATAAATGTTCGTGGAAGGCTTGAGTTAATTTAATCGGAGCAAGTTGTAAACTGGTAAATTGGCCGTTTAAAGACAAATTGGATGGTTTCACCCACCCAATGGGACTCCCGAAGGTTATTAGGGACCATGGTAAACCTTTCGGCAATTTTAATTTTCGAGAGAAAAAAAGTTAAAAAATTCCAAAATTGAAGGCTAATATCCATGCTTTTTGATAAATTTTGGAGGTTTCGAGACCCAATGTCGAAAAGGCTTGAGATTTTAAGGGATACATCTCAGGGTCATAATGTCGTTTTGAACAATATATGATCATTATATGTTGTTATATATGTTCGTGGTAGGACTGAGTTAATGACATCAGTGCAAGTTATAAATCGGTAAATTGGCCCCTTAAAAGCGAATTGGATTGTTCCATCCACCCAATGGGACTCCCGGAGGGTATTAGGGACCATGGTAAACATTTCAGCGATTTTCATTTCCGGGCAAAAAAAAAGTCATAAAATTCCAAAATTAAAGGCTATCCACGCTTTTTTGAGAAATTTTGGAGGTTTTAGGGCTTATTTTCGAAAAGCCTTGAGATTTTAGGGGACACATCTTAGGGGCATTTAATGTCGTTTGGAACCACATATGATCATTATATGTTGTCATAAATGTTCATGGTAGTCTTGAATTAATTAAATCGGTGAGAGTTGTAAATCGGTAAATTGGCCGTTTAAAGGCAAATTGGATGGTTCCACCTACTCAATTGGACTCCCGGAGGTTATTAGGGATTATGGTAAACATTTTCTCTATTTTTATATGCAGCCTAAAAAAGTAAAAAAAAATTCAAAAATTGAAGGCTAGTATCCACGCTTTTGAGAAATTTTGGAGTCTTCAAGGCCCGGTGTCTAAAAGTCGTGAAATTCTACGGAATACATCTCGAGGTCAAATAATGTCGTCGAGAACCATATATGATCATTATTTGTTGTCATAAATATTCATGGTAGGCTTGAGTTAATGAAATCGACGCAAGTTGTAAATCGGTAAATTGGCCATTTAAAGACAAATTGAATGGTTCAACCCAACCAATGGGACTCCCGGAGTTATTAGGGACCATGGTAAACATTTCAACAATTTTTATTTCCGGGCGAAAAAAGTCAAAATTTTCCAAAATTAAAGGCTAATATCCACGCTTTTTAAGAAATTTGGAGATTTCTGGGCCCGATGTCGAAAAGCCTTAAAATTTTAGTAGATAAATCATGGGGTCATTTAATTTCGTTTGGAACCATATATGATTATTATATCTTGTCATAAATGTTCGTGGTAGGCTTGAGTTAGTGAAATCGGCGCAAGTTGTAAACCGGTAAATTGGTCGTTTAAAGTCAAATTGGATGGTTCCACCCACCCAATGGGACTCCCGAAGGTTATTAAGGACCATGGTAAAAATTTGTGCAATTTTTATTTCCGGGCGAAAAAAAGTTAAAAAATTCAAAAAATAGAAGGCTATTATCCAAGCTTTTTGATAAATTTAGGAGGTTTTGGGACCCGATGTCGAAAAGGCTTAAGATTTTAAAGGATACATCTCAGGGTCATATAATGTCTTTTGGAACCATATATGACCATTATATGTTGTCATAAATGTTCGTGGTTGGATTTTATTAATGAAATCGGTGCAAGTTGTTAATTTGTAAATTGGATGGTTCCACCCATCCAATGGGACTCCCGGAGGGTATTAGGGACCATAGTAAACATTTCGTCAATTTTCATTTTCTGGCGAAAAAAAGTTAAAAAATTCCAAAATTGAAGTCTAATATCCACGCTTTTTGAGAAATTTTGGAGGTTTTGGGGCCTAATGTCGAAAAGCCTTGAGATTTTAGAGGATACATCTCAGGGTCATATAATGTCGTTTGGAACCATATATGATCATTATATGTTGTGATAAATGTTTGTGGTAGGCTTGAATTAATTAAATCGGCGGGAGTTGTAAATCGGTAAATTGGTCGTTTAAAGGCAAATTGGATGGTTCCACCTACCCGATTGGAATCTCGGACGTTATTAGGGATCATGGTAAACATTTCGGGTATTTTTATATGCAGGCGAAAAAAGTCAAAAAATTCAAAAATTGAAGTCTATTATCCACGCTTTTTGAGAAATTTTGGAGCCTATGACTCCCGGTGGCTAAAAGTGTTGAAATTCTAGGGAATACATCTCAAGGTCATATAATGTCGTTTGGAACCATATATGATCATTATTTGGTGTCTTTAATATTCGAGGAAGGCTTGAGTTAATGAAATCGGTGCAAGTTGTAAACTGATAAATTGTCGTTTAAAGGCAAATTGGATGGTTCTATCCACCCAATTGGACTCCCAAGAGGTATTAGGGACCATGGTAAATATTTCGACAATTTTTATTTATGGACGAAAAAAAAGTAAAAAAATTCTAAAATTGAAGGCTATCCACGCTTTCTGAGAAATTTTGGAGGCTTTGGGGCCCGGTGTCGAAAAGCCTTAAAATTTTAGAAGATAAATCTTGGAGTCATTTAATGTCGTTTGAAACCATAAGTGATCATTATATGTTGTCATAAATATTCGTGGAAGGCTTGAGTTAATGAAATAGGTGCAAGCTGTAAACCGGTAAATTGGCCGGTTAAAGGCGAATTGGATGATTCCACCCACTCAATGGGACTCCCGAAGGATATTAGGGACCATGGTAAACATTTCGGAAATTTTTTTTCCAGACGAAAAAAGTAAAAAAAAATTCCAAAAGTAAAGCTAATATCCACGCTTTTTGTTAAATTTTGGAGGTTGCAGGACCCGATGTCGAAAAGGCTTGAAATTTTAAGATATACATCTTCGGGTTATATAATGCCATTTGGAACCATATATGATCATTATATGTTGTGATAAATGTTCGTTGTAGGCTTGAATTAATTAAATCGGCGAGAGTTGTAAGTCGGTAAATTGGCCGTTTAAAGACAAATTGGATGGTTCCACCTACCCGATTGGACTTCCGGAGGTTATTAGGGA